ATCATCCCAACCCTCTGGTGGTAAGCGCAGCAAATTACCAACCCGACACAAACGCGAACGTCAACAAGCGTCGCCCGCGAAACGTCCTCATCGACCCGGTCGAGGAAGGGGACTTAGACACGCCGGACGCACCGCCTTGGGTCCCGCCGGGCAACACTACACCCACAGTTAGTGCAACAACAAACACACTAGTTCGCCCTCGCCTCCGAGCACGGCGAGACCAACACAACGCGTACACAAGGTACACCCGCGTTTCGGGGCGGTTCTCACCGCTCCCAGCCACCGATTAGCTAAATGCACAGTCGACGGCCATCGGGGTTTCGGTCCGAACCGCGAACACCATACTTAAACGCACGCATGAGCACATGCATGGCCCTACCCACAGCGGAGGGCCCAAACCCGTGGGTTCTGGCTAGCCCACCGGTTCTGCGTCAAATGAAGCTTTAATAGTCTTGGGACTGAAAGTTAAAACATCACTTAATACAAGATACAAGAAGGAGCTCATGCTTCGAGGGCAAATTAATTATGCTAAATTTAATTTAATTGTTTACTTCCGCCCTACCTGTAATCAATGCTTCCCTACCTCAAATTCAACTCTAGCTACAGCCCTGGCTCCAGCTACCTCACTCACCAGACGAAACGCGAAAGTATTTGTCATACTTCCACTTTACGCTGGTTTTCTGTGAGGTCGTGGTACTCACCCGGACGGGCCTGCCCATTCGTGCAACAGCCGAGGCTGCTGCGTGGCCTATAAAAAATAGAGGCATATAAAAAAATACTTTCTAATACATCTAGCGCGAAGTGCTTACTCACTTGTCGTAGATTTCCTTCTCTGTTTGTTATATGGTACTTGGTTTAAGGGTAAGATGTCGTACGAAGTGATAGATGGATCAATATTTTGCTTTCAATATAACCGGTTTTCTTAAACAAAAACCGGTTTTAATAGGTTCTATTAAAATACCGGTTTTTTCACCGGTTTCTTCAAACCGGTTTACATCTCTAATGGACCTATGCCGCTCGTCTTCCACTCACCGTTACGAACTATGTTCCGTATTTATTTATTATTGAGGGTTATAATTTTATTAGATCATTCGAAAACATGAAACTAAATATATATATACACATATTTCGTATTTTTAATTATTTGTATGAATTAACAACTAAAGCGTAATTTCAATATCTTATCTTGTCATTAATAAGTTTATCAGTCCTATACAAACAGTGTAAAGGCAGGAATGCCCACTTAGGAATTTTCTTCCGAAATTTAGGAATAAAAAATGTAGAATGGAAGTTTATTAGGAGGTAAATTTTTATGGGCATATTTTTTTAGGAGTTAAATTTTATTCACATTTTCGAAAAGCGTTTTGTGTAGTTTACTCAAAACAACTTATTTAAAAAAAATCAGTGCCGTGCTGCTTTGGATGACGTCAGGCCAAGGCCTATGTGTCTGGTATGAATATTTTATGTATTCTAATAATTTTTTTTTTTTATTATTGTATTGATTTTATTCTTAACATATTCATTCATTTCAAATGAATTATGTTATATTTGATATTCTTGACCATGGTTTATTTTATCAGATAATTATTTTCCTTTTTCTATAATATAAAAAAAATCCTGATTTTAAATTTAGAAATTTTTGTTTGAATTTAATAAATTTTTGTCGGTTTTCGAATTGTTTTCGGAGTATTATTTTTGAACGGTTTGTAACACTGTGTAAAGGACCATCATTCTATATGGATTGGGTTCAAATCCCTACATTTTTCTTTATTATATTTTTTGGTGATTTGCTTTTTGTAGGTATTTTTTTTTTAATTTACCATTTAATTTTTGTTGATCTTTTTATTTTTATAAATAATTACAACGTAATATTATTGTATTTGTTGAACGTAGAACGCAACAGTTGGAGAACAATCTATCAGATAATAAACCAAGTTTTCATTATTTAAAATTTTTAACAAGTCTTATATTGTATATTGTTTTTAATTTGTTTTATTAAAATATTTAATTTTTCACCCTAAAACGAAAACTATTCTTTTACGAACACGAAAAATAATTGATTTATAATTTTTGTATTTTCCACATTTTATCAAATAACAACAAAATAATAAATTGATTAACAAATTAAAATTGTAAAAACATGTATCAACCATGACGTTCGGACCAATAGGCTACACGATGTCTGCGGAAGGGAACAATATTTCGATTCTAGTTATAATTGTTGTCGTTTATCGATATAAGGAATTTTATCGATAATTTTTTAAATATAATTTCATTGAGGAATTAATATAACGTAGTAAGTCTTTCACATTTAAAGGATAAATTAAAGATATAAAGTTTAAGAAAACATGTAATAAAAAGGTCGTATTCGTAATTTCTGCCGTGGAGACTATGAAATTGCGTAATTAAACTTTAAATGAAAATAAATAATTATTCGTTTATTTATTGTTTTGTTGTAAGAAATGTCATTTGCCTTTATTAATTTATTGGACCTTAAGATGTATTTTTAAAATAATAATTAATAACTGATAATTTAAAATAATTAATAGGAAGTTTTTCTAAAATTGTTGATTGCTTTCTCACACTTTATATTTGTTTGTTTATTATTATTCCTATAATAATATAAAAGTAAAGTACAATCATGGTCTATAAAAGATATTATAGGGATCATCTGTGTACATTTTCGAAAGCCTTCCATGATACTATCGATAGTGTCCTACGGCCCATCACTACACACTAGGTAATGAATGGTCTAGCGGCGCGTCGAGTCGACGAAACTCGCGCTCTGCGCGCCGCTAAGCGCCGTTACCCCTCCTCCGCTTCCTCATACTTCACCACCCAAATAGTTAAAAATTCACTGCATGCATACAGCGCCTTAATGTCAAGTGAGCCAGCTCACTTGCCTCCCAGTCTGGCGAAACTAGGAACAAAAAATTTTTCTATGGACTTTACGCGGCAAATAATGGCTGACATTGCTATCACTCTCCCTCAATGCGGTTTCTCTTTCTTGCAATACAAGAAGTGCCATGTTGTTTGTCAAAACTTAATTTCGCACCGCGTATTTTGAATCTAAATGATTATTTCATTGTAAATTTAAATTGTTTAGAGTAAACTTTCTCACGAAAACTAATCACAGGTGATCAGAGTTTTACTTTTAATTCAAAATGCCAAAAAGACGGTGAACTGTGAAATTGGTGAAAATCGAGCAAGTCATTCGAATCTTGAAAAAAGGATGTTTATGACGAGATTTCCCTTAGATGAAGCCCATGTAAGCACTTAAATATGATACTTTGCAGCCATATGTAAGTAGAGCAGACTAAGAACAAATGAAATTTACAAATGTATCTCATTTAAATTGTGTGCTAGTGATGTACTGCAACTGTAATATCCACTTATCGATAACTACGTTAATGTTTATCATTGAAAAAAATAAGAAATAAAATGTTGCGTGAAATAGTAGGGGCACAAAGTTTTACATATTTGAATGGTGTGCCTACATAAATGACCAAGGATCGGAATAGGTGAATTTTGCAGGATTTCGAAACATAATCTCTGTAATATTGATACCTCATATAATTAATTTCGTGCGCTGAGTATGCAAGAAAACTAAAATAATTTTTGAATTTTGATTCTATTTTTATATTTCAATTATTTCCAGACTCGTATACAGCAGGACAACGGCTGTTGGCTGAAGACTCAAGAAACAAATTTCATTTCAGTAATAAATTTTTGGCAGTCTATGGGGGAGGCCTATGTTCAGCAGTGGACTCAAACAGGCTGAAATGATGATGATGATGATGAATAAAATTTTATTTTAATGAATAAAAACCGTTTTTTATCTTATTTCGGGTCCGTATTAAAATCCAATCTTCTACCAAATATCCCCTTATCAATATTGGACATAAATACGGACTCGATACTTACCTACTAAAATTAATTAAAAAATATTAAGTGGAAACCTCGGTTTCTACCTAGCATCTTTTATCGATATCGATAAGAAGCTAAGCTAGCTTGGTTAAGCACTATTTGGCTCGTTACGTTGGTACTTATGTTGTTTGACATCTTTGTGGTATTTTTGTGGTGTGGTTGGTATTGGAGTGCCGCGTAATCTGATATTTTTGGCTAGTATGGGAGTCCCGTCTCTTAAATGTAGTGATTACATTCTCTTTGTTGCCTCCATCTCATATAAAAAAAAAAGAGAAAAGTACAAAGCATTGACTTTATTCCCATCTAACCCGCTTGTTTCTATATATTTCACGGTTTGTTAAGAAAAACGATATCACCGTGGTATAGATGTCAGGTGAACTAAACAGCATGTTATTTGCCCGACCACGCTGAGAAAGGATTTATGAAAAACATTTGGTCTGATCTGGGCAAAATTCTAGAACAGCAATACTTTTGCTTTCAACTTACGTATATTAATAAACGATTAATAAAGTATTAAATGTTCAGATTTCCTGCATGACAAATCTGTATATTTTACACAAAAGTGATCTGCACCAGAATAATGCTACAAAACAAATAAAACAGCATTTAAAGTCACATAGAGGAAATGTACTTCGTTTATTACAATTACTTAATTCTCGATTAATCATACGCGAACGGACGTACTCAATAAATAGAAACAAAAAAAAACCGCGCGAAGCCGCCACCGCACGCGGTGAACAGTTCGCAAAATAACGAGAAACAGACAACGTAAACAAATTACATGATTCCGTTAAATAGCTTGCTTCGTAAACGATCTAAAAAGCAAGTGCCTCCATATTCGTTTCGTATTGTTTTAATTACAAATGTGCAACAGATTATATTGGTAACTCGGTTCATTCCACAGATAATTTATAGAGTAGGCGAGTTGTTGATAATTAACAGTTCTGTAGTATTACGCAATAAAGATATTAATACTGCATTCCACTATCGAGTTTCCTGTCTCGTCCCCTCTCGCTATCTACATGCGTGTCGAAGCTCGGAGATAGTTTCGGATCCTGCAGCCTCTATAATTACAATCCGGCGATGATCGTCGCCGGGTCCTCCACGCCTTCCTTGATCTTCCTGAGGAAGAGCACCGCCTCGCGGCCGTCGATCAGTCTGTGGTCGTACGTCAGGGCGATGTACATCATCGGCCGTATGACCACCTGGCCGTTGAGGGCGATGGGCCGCTCGAATATTCCGTGCATGCCCAAGATGGCCGACTGGGGAGGGTTTATGATCGGCGTGCCCATCAGGGAGCCGAACACGCCGCCGTTGCTGATGGTGAAGGTGCCGCCGTCCATCTCCTCGATGGTCAGCTTGCCCGACCTCGCCTTCTCCGCTAATCCCGCGATCGTCAGCTCGATGTCCGCGTACGTCATCGTCTGCACGTTCCTGATCACCGGCACCACCAGCCCCTTGGGGGTCGCGACCGCCACCGAGATGTCCACGTAGTCCCGGTAGATGATCTCGTTGCCCTCGATCACAGCGTTCACCACCGGCTGGTCCATCAGCGCGTTGGCGGCCGCCCTCACGAACGGCGACATCAGCCCGAGCTTCACGCCGTGCCTCTTGGTGAACGCGTCCAGGTGCTTCTTGCGGAACGCCATTATGTGCGACATGTCGATCTCGTTGAACGTGGTCAGCATCGCGTTGGTGTCCTGCGCCTCCTTCAGACGCTGAGCGATCCTCTGGCGCATCCTGTTCATCTTGACCCGCTGCTCGGTGCGGGTGCCGGAGATCTCCTTGCTGTAGTCGGCCGGCGGCACCTTCACGGTGGCCGTTTCGATGGCTTGCGCATGCCGGATCGCGGCCACGGGGATCGAGGAGATTGGGGCGGCGGGGGGTGGGGGGGCCGCTCTGGGCTGTTGCGGCGGTGGGGTGGGGGCGGAGGGAGGGGGCGGCGGTGGCGGCGGGGGAGGGGCAGCGGCCGCTTGCGGCGGCGGGGGCGGCGCCTCGGCCTTGGGGGGTTCGGGAGCGGGCGCGGCCGCCTTCTTCGGCGCCGCACCAGTTATCTCGAGTCTGAACAGCTTCTGTCCCGCCTTCACTGTGTCGCCGTCACCGACGTAGAGCTCCTTTATGACCCCATGCGCCGGCGCCATCACCGGAATGGCGGTCTTATCCGTCTCGATCTCCAGCACCACCTCGTCGGCCGCAACGGCGTCGCCTACCTTCTTGTCCAGCTTCACGTCACCCTCCGACACGGAGTCGGGAAATCCGGGCGTCATGACATCCTGCTCCTCGTACAGGACCCTCGTGAAGTGGATCGAGGCTGCTTGGTTGTGCGCCACCGCGACCCTGGCGTGGGCCAGCCTCGTTTGGGGCAGAGCGCCCAGAAGCTTGGGCACCTCAGTTGACCTGTACCGGAGGCTCTGCCCCTGCCTCCGGTATAACGTCTGTAAGTGTTTCGAGCAGCGCCGCAACATTTTTCGTGAAGATAACCTTTACCCTGAAAGTGGAGAAAAAGTTACCAGTTATTGATAATGCGGTGCCACAGCAGATAAGCCATTGGCTTTGGCGCCGTAGATAAGTCATAGGTTTTGATGACCGGTCTAAAAAACCTACCAATACCTCCTAAATCATATTATGTCGTGCTGAACCGACCTAGGCGGGATTTATTTATTTACATGTTAATGGCAGATATTATAGTATATTTATATGTTTTGCCATATGCAGTTAATCTTTAACTCGCTCCTTAAATGCTAATGAGGTAAACACAAATTTCGAACAAGAGATTTGCATAATAAGATTACATAAACTATACAAATTTCATGAATCATGTTAGCCAATAATAGTATAATGATATATAACATAACTCAACAATTATAGTCTATTAATGTGAAGTGCATAAACATCAGTGTGATTTGAAATATCTATTACTTCTTAATAATGGTATGCAATTGTCCATAAATACTATTGCGATAGAAAATAATAATATTAAATAATTGAGAATTAACTTTCTTCAGGTAAATGTTGACAGTTGTCTCTGGAAATATTAAACAACCGGTCCCATATGGTTCAAAATCAGTTGACTCAGTCAAAAGTTCTGAGGTGACAAACAAAAAAAATATGTAGTTTAATTGACAACCTCCTCCTTTTTTGAAGTCGGTTGAAAAAAGAAGATGAATCTATTTCAAAATGTATAATATCACATCACAGCAAAATGTAGTGGACTTTAGATAAATTAAACTACATTATGTTGTAAAGTCAGTCAAAATTACAATACGATAAAGGAAACGATACTAAATTTTAGATAACATTACAAGGTTCGGAATATCAGGAATTTAAAATAATATAATAAAAAATACTTTCATTTAATAATATAATCAAGGTAATAAAAGAATGACTTTGCATATAACTGCTATTGAGAATTATTATTCTTAAATAATAAAAATTATTATTTAAGAATGAGTGTTTTCGTAAAAATTTGTAGCAAAAATCGTCCACTGAACTTTAGTTCCACAATGTAATCTTATCATTTCAGTACTTGTAAACAGAAAAATCTTACAATGAAATGTGAGAAATGATAATCCAAATACATCATCTAGCTCATATGATGTAATGTATTGTAGTTGTTAAAAGATATAAAAAGATAAGACTTTTTAAACTGATTTATGATAAAAAGGTCAGCTTTTTAATATCTATTTGCATAAGGTGAAAATAATTCCATTATTGTTTTAACATGTATTACATTTTTAAGGAAATGACCGCAATAACACACAATCATTTCACTAAATATTTGTCAAATCCATTAACATCAAACTATTCATTGATTATAACAATACACAAAACAAATTGAATAAAAGTAATATAAGTCACTCTTAGCATGCTAGCCCAATTTGACATAAGATGGACAGATATAAGTAAACAAAACATTCCATGTCACAAATAGTGGGCACATTACTTATTTTGCATGACAGTGAAAAATATCATCTTACCTATTTTATCTCCCATTTTAATCTATGACTTTAGATTTATACCTAAAAATATACGCTAATTAAAAATGAAGATAACATTTGTTTTTAAAGGATATTTTTAATATAAGCTTCAAATTATCTATATTAGTTACCTATACAAGTACTTTAATTAAAATGTATAATATCCATGTAAATAAAATAAATTAGTACAATGATGAATGCTTGAATGAAAGATGACTGTTGGTAAAGAGAAACTGTTAAACCTACAGTTATCCCGCAGGCAAGTATGGGCCTTGCTATACAAAGAGATTGTGTCCTGTCATTTACCTATATATCAAATGTACGTACATTTTAAGCGGGCAATTAAATAATACAACTGGATGTGAGAGTCGGATATCATACAAAGTGGCATACCATCGGAGAGGGCTATGTCCAGCAGTGGACTGTGATGATGATTAGTAAACATTTGTATCATTGTACAGGCACTTAAATGCCATCCTGCAAAAGGTTATAAGATACAAAAGAGAGTAATATAATGGTAGTGATGTGTCAATTGTAACATCATACAAACCTATTCAAATATTTTATATGATGAACAGAAATGGATGATTTAATTTAATTCAAAAGTCAATAAAGCATCCTAGCAACTTTAGGAATATATTATGCAAGTACTGAACAATAATGCAAGGCTAGAACCATTTTCGTTCCTTTTCAAAATCATATAAATATTAATTACTTTTATTACTTAAATTATTGGTTATTATTTATTATTAATTTTGGCCGACGGTTTAACATTGATCCCTTGGGAGAGAGGCAAAGCCCTTGTTTGGGACGCCACTTGTGTAGACACTTTGGCTGCCTCTCATCTAAGGGGTACTTCGGTCAGGGCCGGGGCGGCATCGGAGGCAGCTGAAGTAAGTAAATGGCGCAAATATGAGTCTTTATGTTCAGATTATGTATTTGTGCCATTTGCTGTTGAAACATTAGGTCCGTGGGGTCCCCGCACATCAATTTTTTTTAAAAGTTTATGTCCTAGGCTTAAGGCCGCGGCTGGTGACAAGAGAGCTGGTTCTTTTCTCGCTCAAAGGTTAAGCATAACTATTCAGCGAGGAAATGCAGCTAGCGTTCTTGGCACCATGCCGCGTGGATTAGGTTTATTAGATAATATGTAATTTTAGATAGATTTAATCTTGTAAATATTAGATCAATAAAGATTGTCTTTTAAAAAAAAAAAATATTTGGCATTCAATTGCGACAATGTAAAAATAAACATAAAATGCTATACAATTTTTTTATTTGTTTGGAATAAAATAAAAAAAATATGAGAAAAAGCCAAACCTTTGCTATGAAACCTTTTTGTAACTTTGATTTTAATAGAAAAATCAATAATTGATATAAATAGTTTTCATCACTTAACATTATATTTAATAAGTTGGAAAATATAATGAAATATTGTCTTATATATATAAAATAAGTCCATCAAGGGTCAAATCATTAATAAAACATTATTCTGTGATAAATAGAAAAAAAAATAATAAAAATGACATTACTGACAGAAGATTGATAATGAAGGATGATTGAACTGATAAGCTCTAAATAAACAACACAAATGTAATGATCGCCGAATCAATTAAATACTTCATTCAAATACCTAATTCAAAGTGTCCTCAATTACTTAAATAAATCAAAAGGTGACGATGAAACGCATGCTATATTATTCAAGGTTAGTCAATTGTATGAATAGATTTTATCACAATAAAACTATATACCTTACCTTTAATATGGGGTAAACAGCCGCTATCTATGCAAGTTATAATTATTTCAGTGACAAAAATGTTACATAAGCTTAAGTCTCATGACAGATTCGATCAGCAGCCGTGTTATATGAAAATCGAGTCTCTATCGATTTTAAAAGCGTTGTTACAGCATAGCCGGCGTGACACGTACAGAAAGTACTGATCGGATACTTCACTTTTTTTTGGACGCTGCCTGTTAAAATAAATTGGATGTTGCGACCCAATGACTACATTTATTTCGACTGGATCTTCGCCTCTCAAAAATCCAGTTGGTGGCACCTGTCAAGATGGTAAAGATCGGGATCTTGGCCCTCGAGAACTTGTGATTACGTTCGGAAATTAACAGAGTTGGAAAAGTAAAAAATGAAACTTATATTTTCATTCATTAAACATAATATACTGTATAGTTTTTGTATTTCTATATACATGTAACAATTTTGGAAATGTTTATTATTAAATGTAATTCATATATCTTTAAGGCTAATCGGATGAAAACGGGGTGCTATATTTTCCCGGATTACATCCTCTGAATAGATTCCACTAACGATTGCCAAGCCGATGCTTGAACTTCTTGTGTTACAAAAAATTTAATAAATTTGATTCCAGTAGTATATTTCCTTTTACTTTGATAATTCGTGCACTATTAATTTTGTTTTTACTTGATAAGATTTGGCCAATTGGTCTGCCGGTTCAACTAATGATAAGTGAAGCGAACGGGTCCCACGGACGTGTGTAACACTCGTAAGGTTGTGGATGCGTTGCTACTTTTTAAAAACTGGGTCAAAGTGATATCTCACTTACAAGAAGACACATAGAACAATTTTATACTTTTTTAAAAAAAAAAAAGGCAAATGAGCAGACGGGCTACCTGATGGCAAGTGTTCACCGCAGTTTACGGATAATCGAAATACCAGAGAAGTTACAAATGAATTGCCAGCCTTTGAGGAAGAAATTGTCTCACTACTTGAAGGTCCCTTGAATGTCGTATCCGGATATACCGCTGGCGATAACTGATCCCACAATTTTAAACGCGAAACAGTTAAACGCACAGTGGTGGACGACCAACCATTGAGATAGTAGCGATGGTATTTGGCAGTTTGACGTGTCATACAATGGTGAAATTCGCCAGCAGGTATTATTCTGAATAACTCCTCAGAGCAATGTCCGTATTAGATTCAATAAAAAATGCAAAGAGATGAACCAACTCTTCGCAAGGCCAAAGGATCGTGGCATTAGAGTAACTGTATGTTGGATGAGGTCAAGTGGAAGGTCTCCATCGTATTCGGATGCCCCACCCGAATACGATGGAGTACTGTTCTTATCTCTAGAACAGTACTTTATTATCATGCGCGGCTGAATCTGCAGTTTGTAATGTTGCAAGCGATGAAACAGTAGGAATTCTGCCTCGCTCTACGCAGGGCACCAAGCTTTTTAAGAGCCAATTTGGCTTTCTCTTCCAATTGAACGTGAAGTTGAACGCTGCTCTAGGGCTGGAATTAGGGGAGGGCAACCGGGCTACAGCCCCGGGGCCTCCACAAAAGAGGGACCTCCCAGTGGCGGATTTACTCTAAGGCCCAGTAAACCCACTTATAGCAATCGCACTTTGAGGAGACGGGCATGAAGTTGAAGTTATTTTATTATTAATTTATTTTTCAATATTACTGCGTTTCGTCTGGTGAGTGAGGTAGCCGGGGCCCAATTTATTATAGATGG